AGTACAGCGTTTATATTCAAACTTTGACCCTGGCGCCATCTGCTGGAGGATATTGAACATGCATGGGCACACAGCTTCGATTTGTGTAGCAAGTTGGAGGTTTGCTGACCTTTTTTGCAGATGTGAATTAACCTTTTTTGATACACACGTGTTATTGTTTTATTCTGATATTTTTTCTTTACTCTTGATTCGATAGTATTTTTAATATTTATTTAAATGTTTTTGGACAACGTTTTTGACGACGTTTTTTATTTCCAGTACTTACTTTCATTTAACCCTAACCCATTTTTTTTAAACGTATGTTTTCCTCGTACCTGTACTTTATTTGTATCTTTTTTTTCTCTTTTTTTTTACAACTTTTTGGAGCTCCAATTTCAATCTTGTAATGTAGATGAATGTTATGTATGAATGATGCAAGTACGCATAGGTTTCATTTTCCTGTTTATGCAACCTTTTGAGGTCCATTTCAGCCTTTAAAAGATCTTTTGTTTTGTCACTTACTATGGCAACTCTCCTCACAATTGTCATTCGAAACTCAGGAAAGTTTGTTTAAAAATGAAAAAGTACTGTGTCTAAATTCTGTCCCTGGAAGGGTACAGGAGTTCAGAATCTTCCCCAATGCTGGACTTGGAGAGGCTGCATTATATAAAACTGAAAAGAAAACAGTCAGTAGACTAAGTGAAGCGTGGCTCAGACAGCGACCCAAAGACTGTCAAACACGTTTTGGTTTAGTCAGTTTGTTGTGGAGAGCGATATTATACTAGATCCAGAAGAGAGAGGAGGAGAGCAGGGGGAGTAGTTGTAGTACATTGCATAATCTGTAGAAGAGACGATGTGGTTTCATGAACATCCCACGCTGGGAATGGATTTATCACTTATGTGTCGCACACATCTGTAAAGGATTTCCATCTATCTCCGCTGGAAATGCTGTTACAATATTTGTCAATGGTAAACACTTTGAAATTTAATGTAAACATTATTTGATGATACAATCTAAAGGAATGCAAGACACCAGGCGTAACGAAGGGCCACTGAGGCAACGCATAGGAAACAGTTATTGTAAGTAAAAATCAAAGTTATAATAATAAATAGGTTTACTTTTTTTTCTTTTAAGTAAGTAAAAATAGGTGAAGTGAAGTACCTTGTAGTGACCACAGGGTCACTACAAGGTCAAATTGTAGTGGATTTTTTCACCAAAAAAGTTGCAAAATGATCCTTTATATCCATACTATTATATCCAAATATTATATCACATGTCAATGCAACTCAAGCCATTCATAATCTCATACATTTTAATTAGATATTATTTCAGTTTATTTTGAATTGAAAATTTAAAAAAACCCTTTCCTCACTGTGGATTATACTGTCACTGTATACCCATGACAATAAAACAATTTCTTCAAAGCACTCATCACAAACCAGCGACACTCTGAATAACTTTCCAGGAACAGAGCCTCATTTACATGCTGGTTTTACTGGCAGAATACTGATGTGACAGTGTTTACAAAGCAGATCAGAGCATGCAGAAGATCACAATGCACAATACACAGAGGGATATCAATAGACGAAGTTTCCATGGAAGAGAAGAGTCAGAACCCTCCAAATAAAATTTCCGACTTAGATTGTTTCTGATGCAAAATAATGCCTGCTCTTCCAAGAAATGCATTTGATATAAAACTGTTTGTGATGATGCACCTTGACTACAAGTTACTTTATGGCTGCAATAACTTGTTTCATATAATTAATACATTTTGTTTGTTCCACCAGAAAGTGTTGTTTGTCAATGGTGATTCTAAACTTTTTTTTTTAATGTATATACATATACTGTATATATAGTATATATACATACATCAAATTCAATTCCCACCAAAACCAGACAAACATGAGAGAAACATGTAACCAACTGAGTACTGAGCCATTTCTTTCAACAGATTATGTCTCTGTTCATTTGATTAATAACCAAATTAGTAATTGTTTTATGTATCAAGATGACTTGGAGCTGGGACAGCTTACCACTCAATTTTTTATTTTATTGACCTTTATTCATATTTAACCAAGCCCCACTGAGATTTCAGAATGTCTATTTCAGGGGAGTCCTGAGAGATAGGAGAGCTAATGTATATGTTTTTAGAGGTAAGGGGGACCCGAGCACCCAGAGGAAACCTATGCAGGGAGAACATGCAAACTCCACTCCGAAAGGCCCTGTCTCGAGGTGGAATTGAACCTAGGTGTAATATTTCAAAAAGGAGGAAGGACCCAAAATACAATACTGCAAAAATAGCAATTGAATAAACAAGAATCCAAAAACAAAACCTACCTGAACGTAAAACACAGGAGCTGGGGACAGAGAAAAGAACCTTGGAACAAAAACACAATGGACTGACAACAAGAGGGAAGAGGGAATTTAACTGGGAGACACAGAACAGACAACACAAAATAAAACAGGAACTAAAAATGACTTTATTTTTGTCTGTTGTCTTACCTGTCCACTATGCATTTATCTCATTTGCAAGTTTGTGTATTTTGTTTTACTATTGCCTGGTAAGTGTGTTATGTTATGTTTTGTATGCTTTGTATGTACATGGTACTGTACTGTATGTCTGGTGACTGTGTTGTCTGAAAAAAAAAAATGACAAAAATAAACAGGACCTGCTTGCTGAAAAGTGAGAGGGCAAACCACTCACTCCCGAACGGGCAGAAAATATATTATGTGATAAAATTCCTCGAACTAGATCCTAGCTCTGAAAACAGTTTGGTTCTGTTACTAGTTTTCACATGCATTTTTTGTCACATCTTTTTCAATAAATAAATAGGACCAACACTTACTCAGCCGATCAGTTCCCAGTATGTAAAAGATCAAATGCTTGCTTGTAAGATGAAGCAGCACGTTGTGGTTTGATTTTTTTCACAACATTTGAGGACTTTTTATGTTGGGATAAATTTTGTGATTGATACAATATTTTGAAAACTAACTTCTCCTAAGCAATAATTGTAATTGATAGTGCAAAATTTTGACAGTCCACGGGGCAATGCTCTGGAACTCTGAGTCCTCTGCTTGCACTGAACTAAGCTGGATTTAAACACAAACTGAGAAGAGTTTTATAGCAAGCCAGTTGTGTGACAATTGCAGTTGAAGTGTTTTGAACTCTTCTACATGTTTTTGAATTTCCCTTCAGTCCATTATCTCCCACACAAGAGTGAAAAGTTCTAGACTGACCTCCACATGTTTGATCTGTGGACTGGGATGTGCAGTAAGTCAGGGCTCATTATAGTTCCAGAGAAATCCACTGGTCTCTTGTAAAAACTACCATCAACCGGAGCCAGAAAAATAACGAGTGTGGAGAACATTTCACTGGGACGTTTCATAACCGCACTGTTTGGAAACTTTATTGTTTTTATTTTGCACACGTGTGTCCAGGAAGAGTCAAGATGCACATGTTTAGAGTCGGTGAACAATGGACAGTTTGAAAAGAAGCTGCAAAATCACAATTGAAGCTTTGTGAAAGGCTGCAACATTGAACATTTATTTTAGCTACAAAAGTGCACTACAGTTTACACGTAGAAGGCATTAGCGCAACGACGTCAAGTGATAATAATAATATAAAATGTATACGTATACATATACATATTAAAATACATTTTGAAAGTGGTCAAGTGATTCACAATTGATATTTTAGTGCACAAACATCAACATCAAAACACAAACTCTGGCACAAAGCATGAAAAAACATAAACTGGATAAACATAAACATTTTGAATTCAGAATTCTTCAACTGAACTTTAGCAACATTTTCTCTCCTAAAAAAACCTGGCACAGACATTTGTAATGCTACGCAAGCTGTTTGAGATGTTCTTAGTACTATTAATAAGGCAATTCTAACCTCGTCACTTGTAAGGCAACATCCTGCAACGTTTTCAATAAGACACAGCTTTAGTTTGACCTCATGTAACGCGTGACACAATGCAGCAAATCCTTTTCAAAGTGCAAATAAGAGTAACAGTACTTTACAGTGATCCAAATGTACTTTACAAAAATGTAAACGAAAGACAAGTGTATAGATTATCACCAGGGAAATGAGAAGCTTAAAGCTGGGGCACCTAACTTTCAAACCAAAATAAATTCCATGTTACTCGTTCCTCGCACGTTTTTGCATTCAAAGAGGACCACCCTCTCTCAGCAAATCAGCTCTTAGCCCATAGTGTCAAATAGTGAATCACAGAGCAGTATGGAAAATATAAAGTGTTTTCAATAAGATTAAGACAGCATGTTGCAGTCTGATTTGTGCACACAACCCACCTTTACATCATAAAATGAAGATATACATTAGGAACTTGTAAGAGACAAACAAAAATCCTACTTCCATATTGTATTACGTGACAACAAATATCAAAGGCTGTTTCATGTAGTTTGACCCTCAAGTAACTGGCTTTAAGTCAAGACAAAAAAAACACAGATTTGTATGTGCGTTAAAATGTGCAAACAAGGAATGTATTGGCAGATTTGACACTATGGCATTTAGAATTCTTCATATGGAAATTGGGAAATGCCATTCTTTGCCATATTAAGATTACATTAGTGCAGCTGTTTATACACACAACATTATTTCACTGTAGATAATAAAGACATACATAAATATTCAAAATACTTCATTTGGGCTTGACAAAAATTAGATTCTTCAGATGAACAGCCGTAGTATTGTGAAAAATGAAGGGAAAAAATATTTTGGATAACAGGGACCAAATGCTGAGGCTGTAGTAACAGGTGTGGAGACCATCTGAAGCTGGTTGGCTTAAAGTTTAGAAAGCAGGAAGTGGTCTGATAAGGAAAGATATGGAACGCATTTACAGAGGAAAGGAAAAACACAGAGCACTGCCATGTAATCAAAGCTGCTGCAGATTTTGTGTCTCAAGTTCAGATTGGAGTCAGATTTAACACAGAGGGCAGACCTGCACTCGCCCACACTCAGGCTGAATGAGTTAAACAAGGCTGATTCCTGTGTTTAGGCCTGGATCTTCTCAGGGACTTTGGACAGACTCTGCAGCAAACTCCTCTGGAAATCTTCCTCAGATGTTTCAGGAACCAGGTATTCCAGCAGCAAGTCAAAGATGCAGTAAACCAGGTGTCTAAACCAGAAAAGACATGAAAGCACGGTTATCGCTCTAATGCATGGATGTATTATATTAACTGGATAGGGTATTACTAGCTTGTAGCTGAATAACCCATGTGCTCAGGGGATTCTCGCGGTACTGCAGACTGAACCAGACTAAATTCACGTGGGCTACCCAGAAATTTTCCCCATAGAACTCAATGCATATTAAAACAGCTCAACCTCAGCTGACAGAGAACCTACAGCTTTAATAAAGATCGGATTTTGTGGGGATTTTAGTGTCCCTTGTCATCCTGAACTTTTTTTCTTCTTAAATCCTTCGGTTTTGTTTAAATCCACACTTTAGTGCCACAAACTCTGCTCCTCTGGCTCTCGCTCTAACTCCCGCTCTGATGAACTGCTCTGATTGGTCAAAGCGCGGCCGAGCCCCTCTGTGCACGTGCGTGAGACCCGGTGTGAGACCCACACACGCGTGTTTGGCGCAACGCATTATGGGAGATCATCCACTGCGCAGAACCGGGAGGACCAGACGATGCCCAAATACAGGCGAGTTTCCCATAGATCTTTGCGAGTTTCAGGCAACTTCCGCTAATCTTTCAGCCCCCATGCCGTCACAAAGCGCCACTGAGCACAGCCATTCATTTGAATAGGGCGCCATCTTGGATCGCCGGGGCTTGCTCTAATGGCATTAGATTGTTATCTACCGTAATGGATTTCTTATTCCTTCATCTTACCTGTTAATATATGGATCCTGAAGAGAGTCCAGGGCACTTTCCCAGCTGAGTTTGTACTTGTCTGATCCCAAAATATCGGAGATCAAATCTATAAACACACACGTTGTTACACACACATTGAATTTGATGAAAATGACATATGTTTTAGTTGTTGTTGTCGACGGTTAACCCTTTACTGAAAACAAATGGCTGGACTTGTTGTGTCACTCTAATTAGAAATAGGAACAGTCTGCATTGAGAAAGATCAAAGTCCACCTACATTTTCCATGGTAAAGATAAAACATGAAATAGTTGGTGTCTGGAGATAGGATCTATTTATTTGTAGAATTACCAAATTTGGGGTTTTAACAATTATCCTTTGACAGCTTTTCCCGCTGTAACAGAAAAGGCACATTGGTGTAGTGAGAGGACGCCATACAAATAATCTATATAATGTTTCTTGACAGTTTTATTCTAAATGTTCCACTGTATGGTATTACGAGGATGGGAAAACAACATGTGGTCCCTGTGTAGGCACCTCACCATCTAATCATCAGATTCTAATAAAGATGTTGGTTAAATGTTCTGTTTAATGCACTGAACTGCTGATGTGAAATGCTCATTTTTTGTAGAATAGTGAGAGTCAAGGCAAAATTATCACCAGTAAAGTTTATAAATGCTCATGCCATCAAAACAGCAGGGCATCATTCAAACTGTGTGAATGAGCCATTTGAGAGACTTCAAAAATTCACAGCAAGTAAACTAGACTGGTCCAAAAAAATTCACTCCCCTCAGCATTGACACACATGTGGAACGGAGCTTTGGGCCAAGAGCTAACTTTTGGTCCATCCTGTAAAGACGTTTTCGAGAGGTCTGCCAATGTTATATGTTAGCATTGGCTGAATCTTATTCCGGGTCCACCCCCATCGGCCCAGGGTGGTATTGCAAGCATGTCAGCGCACGTCAATTTGGCCACTTTTGAGCCGGGACCCGCCCCTACTGGTTTTTTACTGTACCTGGTAACAGTTGCATGAGACACTGCAGAGCTTCCTGTTTGGTGGCCTCTTTCTGCTGCTGAGTACGGATTACGGCTGGAGCAGAGGGCAGTGATCCTCCAGGCCACACAGCCTCCTGAATCACCTGCAGGTACCATGTCCAATGCCTGGTGCAGAGGAGGTTTGCCACACTTACATCCAGCCACCTGCAACACAAACATGAAGACATTTAATAAAGTGATGAGCATGGTGCAATATCATTAAAGCTGGAGTATCTATCTTTGAACAGTTTTGTGGGACTAGTTTTCACGTTCATGTATTTTTTACCTCTGTCACATCTTTAAATTCACATTTTTAGACTGAAAAGAGTATCAGCCCTGACTCAGTATGTTCTCAGAATGTAAAATACAGCATGTTTTTGTCTCATTAGTGCAGTCTCTCTTTCTGTTGGGACAAACACAACATTATTTATGAAACAAACAAGACCTTATGTGCTCCAGCTTTAATATAAGGAGACATTAGGAGGAGTGCATGTAATATTTTAACCATTTGACACATTTTCAGGTTATGGTTCAGATGACTATCTGTATCCGTAGCATAGGTAGATTTGTTTTGCAGTTGTGAATAGTTTGGCATCACTAAACCATTAAGTTAGACAAATTCAAAAAAGTATATAGCACCCAGAATGAATTCCAATAAAGATGGAAGAAAACAAAAAAAATGTTCATTGTGGGGAAAAAGCAAAGATGTTTTCCAGGATATGTTCATTATGGTGAAAGAGTGGGCAGCATGGGGCCTTAACCTTTGAGGACGGTTGTGTCTATAGTGCTCAAGGATCAACTGTTGTGTAGGTTTTCTGGTGTGGCGGTCCATCAGCAGAGAAAACCTTCCAAACAATTCACCCTTTAGCCTCCTGGAGACCACTGTGATGGAAAGTAAAGGGACCTTTCTGCCCATTCAAATAGAAACTGGGTCACTACAAGGTCAAATATGCCAAACCTTTTTTTTCCACTTACAGTGCTTTGCGAAAGTATTCGGCCCCCTTGAACCTTTCAACATTTCGCCATATTTCAGGCTTCAAACATAAAGATATAAAATTTTAATTTTTTGTCATGAATCAACAACAAGTGGGACACAATCGTGAAGTGGAATGAAATTTGTTGGATAATTTAAACTTTTTTAACAAATAAAAAACTGAAAAGTGGGGCGTGCAATATTATTTGGCCCCTTTACTTTCAGTGCAGCAAACTCAGTCCAGAAGTTCAGTGAGGATCTTTGAATGATCCAATGTTGTCCTAAATGACTGATGATGATAAATAGAATGCTCCTGTGTGTAATCAAGTCTCCGTATAAATGCACCTGCTCTTTGATAGTCTCAGGGTTCTGTTTAAAGCGCAGAGAGAACCATGAAGACAAAGGAACACACCAGGCAGGTCCGAGATACTGTTGTGGAGAAGTTTAAAGCCGGATTTGGATACAAAAAGATTTCCCAAGCTTTAAACATCTCAAGGAGCACTGTGCAAGCAATTTTATTGAAATGGAAGGAGTATCAGACCACTGCAAATCTACCAAGACCCGGCCGTCCCTCCAAACTTTCATCTCAAACAAGAAGAAGACTGATCAGAGATGCAGCCAAGAGGCCCATGATCACTCTGGATGAACTGCAGATAACTACAGCTGAGGTGGGGATGGTGTGTTCAGGGTGATGAGCTGTGTTGCTTTTACGTCAAACATATCGTTTTGCATTGTGGCCAAAAAGTTTGATTTTGGTTTCATCTGACCAGAGCATCTTCTTCCACATGTTTGGTGTGTCTCCCAGGTGGCTTGTGGCAAACTTTAAGAGACTTTTATTGGATATCTTTGAGAAATGGCCACTCTTCCATAAAGGCCAGATTTGTGCAGTGCACGACTGATTGTTGTCCTATGGACAGACTCTCCCACCTCAGCTGTAATTATCTGCAGTTCATCCAGAGCGAACATGGGCCTCTTGTCTGCATCTCTGATCAGTCTTCTCCTTGTTTGAGATGAAAGTTTGGAGGGACGGCCCGGTCTTGGTAGATTTGCAGTGGTCTGATACTCCTTCCATTTCAATACAATTGCTTGCACAGTGCTCCTTGAGATGTTTAAAGCTTGGGAAATCTTTTTGTATCCAAATCCGGCTTTAAACTTCTCCACAACAGTATCTCGGACCTGCCTGGTGTGTTCCTTTGTCTTCATGGTTCTCTCTGCACTTTAAACAGAACCCTGAGACTATCAAAGAGCAGGTGCATTTATACGGAGACTTGATTACACAAAGGTGCATTCTATTTATCATCATCAGTCATTTAGGACAACATTGGATCATTCAAAGATCCTCACTGAACTTCTGGACTGAGTTTGCTGCACTGAAAGTAAAGGGGCCGAATAATATTGCACGCCCCACTTTTCAGTTTTTTATTTGTTAAAAAAGTTTAAATTATCCAATAAATTTCGTTCCACTTCACGATTGTGTCCCACTTGTTGTTGATTCATGACAAAAAATTAAAATTGTATATCTTTATGTTTGCAGACTGAAATGTGGCGAAATGTTGAAAGGTTCAAGGGGGCCGAATACTTTCGCAAGGCACTGTATATAGTTGCATAACGCACCATTAAAAATGTCTTCTGAAGAAACTATGCTATTCCAAAAGTGCTTTGTCCTGCAGCTTAGCAGAAAGTAAATCAAATTGAATCGATTACCATAGTAAGTTCAGAGTGACTATATAAAAATATAAAAACATTACATACATGAAAGGTTGTGTATGTTCAAAGGGAGTATTTTCATGTAATAATCTGATGTTACTTCAAGTTCAAGGTGGAATGATCCTGGCAAAGGTTAGTTAACCTCCTGACCTTATTATCCCTCAAAGCGACAGTTATTCAAATGTGTCGTGACCCTGTCATCATGCCTGACCTGCCCAACGCCAAATGATCCTGTCGGCAAACCGCTCAATCCATACATTCCCAAGCGGATTTAAAATCATGTGGGGCCAACCCGGACACTTTCCATGAATTTCTTAAGATCACAGTTGGATTTTGGGTCATGTGAAGAGGTCTTTTCTGTGGGCCATGTGCAGCTCAGTGACTTTGACCCTTGTTCTGACTCAACCCTTTTCACCCTAAGATGCCTAGAGGGGTGGAAACATTGGCCGCCATCTCCCAGACTGGACGGGCCGGCTATATCAAGTTGGCAAAAGCTAAAAACGACATCTCTAAATAACTCAAGCATGTCAGCGTTGTATGGGTCAGGCATGTGGAGCTGTAAGGGGGACTATAGGAAGGCTGCTTTGTCGACGTGACAAACAGCAGCTCATACAGGGACTGGGCACTCTCCATTTATAGACTTCACAAACATAAATTCTGCAATGTTTCCAGCAGACATTTTAACGTCGTGCAGATGCTCTTATGCAACCCCAAGGTAAACCTCACAGTGGAGCTCAAGTATGAAAGACATGTTGCGCTGCTTTCACTGACTTGTGGCCCCTAATAAAGTTATTTCATTTGAGCTGTACGCAGAGGTCTGGATGTGCCAGCTTCCATTTATAGTTTCCACTCTTTTGCTTTATCTCATAAGAAAGCACAGAAGAGGCCAAAGTCTGCAGGCTATTCTATACTACAACTGGAGGCTGGGAACAAGAATGGGACGGAACATTGTGAACTGGATCGGCAGGAACATCTTATATTTTGCTGTAAAATGTTTGGACTCTAAAGTCTTACATATGTCTGCGACTGATAAAACCACTAATGTATTATAAACAGATACCCGAGTCGACTTCCACAGCCAATGGACTGTATCAATGGTAAAAAGCCCAGATTAGACCCTAAAGTCCCGGACAAACAGGACTTGAGGGTCTAACATGATATTAATCTTCATTTTATGATTCCTTCCAACATTTGATATAAGAAAATTACTCTCTGAAGTAATTTAATTGAAAATCATGTTTTTTTTAATGTGAACATGTGCATCTTTGCTGTTTCTTACTATTAATTAGGTCACTGGCCTCGACTACTGTTAATAATGCTAGAATGAAGCCGACGTTTTAAGAGAATATGGAGTACATATGCAAGATTTTTTTTTTCATTAATAATTATTTTATTTGAAGAAGTCTTCTTTGAATGAGTCTTGTAAAAGCAAAAAGAGTAAATAACACCAGAACTTCATCTTGTTGGATCTTTTGTTTGATAGCAGGCTTGTTTGATAGCAGGCTTGAAACATTTATCGATAAACACAACATAATCCATGAAAGTCAGTACGGGTTTAGGAGGAACAGATCATCAACAATGGCTATAATTGAAGCAGTGGAGGAAATCACACAAGCCTTAGACAAGAAGAAATATGCAGCAGGGATATTCATAGATTTCAAGAAAGCTTTTGACACATTAAATCATAGTATACTAATCAATAAACTGGAATTATATGGAATAAGAGGAATTGCCCACAATTGGATCAAAAGCTACCTAACAGACAGGACGCAGTTTGTGAAAATGGGAAACTACACTTCTGGATACTTGAGCATAGCTTGTGGTGTTCCTCAAGGGTCAATATTAGGACCAAAATTGTTTAATTTATATATTAACGACATGTTTAGCATTTCCAGTTCACTAAAGATGATCCTGTTTGCGGATGATACTAATATTTTCTATTCAAATAATGACTATACCAATCTTATTAATACAATTAACTCGGAGCTAGCCAAATTTAAATCATGGATGGATGCCAACAAGCTCTCTCTGAATTTAAGCAAAACGAAAGTTATGATGTTTGGCAACTACAAAATCAAATCAGATTTATTTATAAACATAGATGGTGTCAAAATTGATAGGGTGTCTGAAAACAAATTTCTAGGTATAATAATGGACGACAAATTGAACTGGAAACCCCACATCAGACACGTACAGACCAAGATCTCAAAATGCATTGCAATAATAAATAAAACCAAATATATCCTTGACTATCATGCTTTGAATTTATTGTATTGTTCGCTTGTGCTGCCCTACTTAAACTTTGGTATTGAGGTGTGGGGAAACAACTATAAAAGTCTACTACATCCCCTCAAAATATTACAAAAACGTGCAATAAGAACAATCAACAAAGTGGGCTATCTCGATCACACTAATGGTTTATTTTTAAAATCAAAACTCTTAAAATTAGAAGACCTGGTTAATCTTAACACTGCACAACTGCTGT